AGCGCATACCTGAACCAGGAGGGGAATGCTAGAGATCTGAGGGCAAATGATGCAAGGTTCTTGGTTTGCTCTGGAAGCAGAACCCTCCTTTTTACATCCCCGGCTCAGGAGAGAGTCATGTGATGCCCAAGGTAATTGCAGCAGCAAAACCTCTTCTGCCACAGGAGGGTGATGACAGAGGCAAGGCCCAGCCCATTTCTGATCCTGCTCCAACAATGACAGGGTGGTGAGCCCTGGTTTATACCTGCAAAATCCCCTTTTGCTTGACTGCTTAGAAAGTTCAGTTCTCCTGTATAAAATCCCCCATGAAGCAGGTGGCTCAGAGAACGGCAGGGAGTGGTAGGGACAGAGAATGGACAGACAGAGAAGAGGAAATTGCCCATTAAAACCCTCCTGCATGGGGGCACACTCCTTTAACCCCAGTGATTGGGAGGCAGAGGGAGGCAGATCTCTGTGAGTTCCAGGCCAGCCTGCTCTATACAGTGAGTTCCTGCCCAACCACGGCTATGTAGAGAGATCCTGTTTCATAAAACCCAGGAAAATAAAATCAAAACCAAAAGGCACTTGTGTGTCTGCTGTACTGTTGGGTCTTGGTATGCATGAGTCTCGTGACTTGAAGGAGCCCCCTTCTGCTAGCCACGGCTTTCAGGGCTGTGGAAGGTCTAGGTGTGGCTGTAGGCTGCCATCCAGGCTCCAGCCTATTCATACATTTAACTCTGGAGTCTGGTGGAGAATTGAAGATTTAACTGTGACAAAGAGCAGGAGTCCCAAAGGAGATGGCAGGAAGGAGAGGACGCCAGTGACAGAAGGACCCTGGCTGATGACAGTTGTCCTCAGTGGCAGAGGCTCATCTCTGTGCTGAGATCACAAAGGGTTTCCTGACTGAAGAGGACCCACATGTGAAAACCCTGGGCTATTGGGAAAGCAGCCAGCATGCCCTGTGCCCCAGGGCATTTCAGGAGTGTGGATGTCCTTGTTTCTTGACATTAAGGAAAAAGATAGGCAGGGTTGGGGGTGTCATCCAGAGGAAAAGAAAAAACACAAGCTGTTGGTAGTGGTACAAACCTTTGATCCCAGCACTCTGGAGACAGAGGCAGGCAGATCTCTGTGAGTTCGAGGACAACCTGGTCTACAGAGTGAGTTCCAGGACAGGCTCCAAAGCTACACAGGGAAACCCTGTCTGGAGAAACCAAAAATAACCAAAACACAAAAACATTTTTTTTTTAAGGCCCAAGGAGAGCATCTATGGGAACTGGAAGAACTTGGAGGAAATGGGAAGCCAGCTGAAGGCACTGAGTGGTGGCATTCCCTGCCTGGGCAGCAATTGTTTTCTAAAGAGCAGGTAAAAGAGCAATAGCAGAATTGTGACCCCTGCAGAGATGCCTGCTGACCAAAGGCATGATGTTTACATATTTAAAATTTCTGCAAAATGCCACAAAGTTGGCACATGCCTTTAATCCCAGCATGTCAGGAGGCAGAGCTAGGTGGATCTCTTAGTTTGAGGCCAGCTTGGTCTACAAAGTGAGTTCCAGGTCAGCTAAAGCTTTGTAGGGAGACTCTGTCTCAATAACGATGATGATAATGATGATAAAAAAATAAAGTAAAATTTGCTCAAAGTGACTTTTCTGGGAATGGAATTCCTTGTCCACCTAAGGTGAACCCTAATTTTACAGAGAGGATCGGGTGGACATCTGTCCCCAGCAGGAGAGATTTACTGGAGCCTGTCTTGGCCATGAGGTAATAACTTTTAGAATACTTCATTCTATGTTCTCAGGGTTTGGATGATATGCTGGCCCAACTGTGACAGAAAGTGCTGGATCAGCCCACTGACCCCAAAGTAGAAGTGTTAGCACTTTGTTCTTGCAAAGGACCTGGGTTCAGTTCCCAGCACACATGTGGTGGTTCACAGCCATCTGTATCTCCAAGTCCAGGTGATGTATTACCTCGTCTGACCACCATGGGCAGCAGGCATGCACAGGGTACACAGACATACATGCAGATGAAACAATCATATACATAAAACAAAGCTTAACTCTGAGTTCATGAGAACTTCTTTCTTTCTTTTTCTGAATTGTTATTTTAGATACAAGAAATAATACCCTTCTTGTGCCTAGCCTTATCCATCAGGAACAAACAGCCCTTGACAGGAACATCTGCATGAGTGGGCTCAGCAATGGCTTGGGTACTGGTAGCATCGAATGCCCCACATAGTCCACTCCTGCTGGAGTGGACCTAGCCTGCTCCTGCTTCTCCTTGAGATGCAAGGTTGTAGAAAAACTAAGATCAGAATGAGAGAGTGTCACGCTGGAAAACATACCGCCTAATCAGAACCAGAGACAGAGAACTGTCTCTTGCTGAGGGCCTTCCATATATAGGGTGATTGCTCACGGCCCCCCCTCTCGCCCCCAGCTTCAAAAGCTCTTTAAAGAGCACTGTGCAGCCTTTGATGACACAGAACCCACCTCAGTGGCTTCCTCTCAGCAGGTCTTCCTGCCTCTCCTGAGAATTCTGGGAGAAACTGCTCTGTCCAGGGTCAATGACTAACCGGGGAGCTGTGGACAAAGGCAGACAGACCTGCCACCTGTTCAGGAGTTTCCCAGCATCAGGTGGTTCTCCTAGCTGCTAGCCCCTTCTCACAGGGAGGGGGTGGGTGACGAGAGTTCAGTCCCTCCCTAGGTCTCCCTTGGCAGTATCCTCCACCCCACCCCACCCCAAACCCCCGCCTGCATCCTGAGAGGAAAAGGACAGCCCCCCACCTCCCCTGCTGGCAACTGAATAGCAGAGCCCGAGAACTGGCTGACTCAACGGGATCAATCCGAAGTGAAAATTCCTTTTTTGGAAGCCAGGCAGTGGCTTCTGAGGAGGGTTGGATCCTGGGGAAGTGATGCTAGCCCTGGGGGGCGGGGGAGGCGGGGCACTGAGTTCTGAGGCCTCCCATTCAGGCCACACCCCTTCCCTCCTGAGCTGTCACTACAGGGACAGCAGAAGGCGGACACCTTGTTCCTTTTATAGGGTTGAAATCCACAGGATGTGTGTGTGTGTGTGTGTGTGTGTGTGTGTGTGTGTGTGTGTGTGTGTGTGTGTGTGTGAGAGAGAGAGAGAGAGAGAGGTCTCCTTCCTCCAGCCTTATCACTTTCTAGAAGTTTCTAAAAGAGCCAAACAGTGCAGCTGTGGTGCCTGCCTGTCCCTTCACTAGGAAAAACAGCACGTGAGCAAGTTCATTCCCTGGATCACAGTGGCAGTGGGTGTGAGGTCCTGCCCAGTACATGGCAGACTAGTAAGTCCTATGACAGGCCTGTGGTGGGGGTGTGGGAGACCAGGGGGTCGGGGATAGGAGGTGGGAGGCGGGATGGGGGAGGGGCCTGAACTGTATGGTATTTGTGTGGCAGGGGCACTCTTGGGTTTGTTTCTGTTCATAGTGCTGGGACAGGCAACTAGGAATGACACTAGGCCTGGGAGCCATCAGCAAGTCACAGCCAGGGAAACCCAATTCAGCAGGGTGGATCTAATAGGAACATCTCTCCCAGGGCTTGTCTTGTTCACCCAGGGAACAGCCTCTCATTGCTCTGGAGCCTACTCTACGCTCTGATGACAGGGTAGGGGAAGACACAGCCAGAGCCTCCCACGCAGGGGCTAAGGGTGACATTTGAGTAGTGTGGCCCAATGGTAAAGTTAACTCCGAAGAAAGAGCCAAGTGACAAACAGATCCCTCACAGGTGCTTTGAGGGTCTATGGCCAACTGAACATCGGCTAGAACCCAGAGCCAACTTGGCCTTTGCTTTGGCCAGTGCTAGGCAGAGCTTGGCTTCTGCCCACAAGCCTTGTCTTGGCACCATGGCAGCACTGACCTCCAACCCAAGTTTCAACAGTTTTGTTTCTTTTTAAAAATCAAGGCTGAACCTACCCATTCCCCCCAAGGCTCCTTGTGTAGATCCTAAAGCTTTGGGGCCTTTGGGGCCCCTTAAAAGCCTTGGAGGGCAGGGGCAGGGCAGGGCAGGGCAGGGGCAGGGCAGGGCAGGGCAGGGCAGGGCAGGGGCAGGGGAAGATGTCTCAGTCAGTGAGCGCTTGCTGAACAAACTTGCAGACCTAATCTGGATGCTTTACAATCAGTGGTTCTCAACCTGTGGGTCACATAGCAGATATCCTTCATATCAGATATTTATATTATGATTCATAACAGTAGCAACTGTATAGTTTTGAAGTAGCAATGAAATAATTTTATGGCTGGAGGTCACCACGACCTGAGGAACTGCATGAGGAAGGCTGAGAACTGCTGGTTTACATGTAGCATGGATCTACAATCCTGGCACTCCCACAGCCAGAGGGAGGAGGAGGCAGGAGACTCCCAGAAGCTTGTGTTAGTCTGGCTTGTGCAATTTTCCAAACAGGGTAGAAGGTGAGGACGGACCCCCAGGTTGTCTTCTGTCCTCCACACGTGTGCCATGGTGCACAAGTTCCTGCACTCACAGATATGAACGTGTACACATACATATAGGCACACATATACAGAGACGTTCATGCATGCACACGCGCACACACACACCCTTAAGAGGAAAATATCCTTTTGAAGGAAAAACTAAACCAAATAAAACCGTGGCTTAAGTGACAGATCATTCTTTTTGCAGTGAGTACTGATAAAGATTAAACAGCAATGGGGCTGGAGCATGGCTCAGGGGTTAGGAGCACCAGCTGCTTTTCCCGAGGACCCAGGGTCCATCCTAAGCACCCACATGGAGGCTCACAACCGTCTGTAACTCATCTGGAGACCTTCTTCTGGCCTTCTGGGGCATTGTGTGCACATGATGCCTAGACATATAATAGGCACCCCCCCCCACATGCCACCACTACCACAAGACAATACAATAAAATTGAAAAGAAAGATTTAACAATAGTGGTATCTGTCTTTCCATCATCTCTAGCTCTAGTTTTTGTCCTGCCTGAAAGTGTGGTCACCTCCAAAGAGGCAAACTGTGTGCAAGGAAGGGCAGCGTGTACTAAAGTGACTCTTGTGATTGCTTTATTACAGTAGGCAAGGATCCACACAGTCTAATTCATGTGCATGCTGCTCCCAGACACTGTGCTGTTAGTCCTGTCTGAAGACCCCAGAAAGGCCCCTCTGTGGTCCCTCTCCCCTGCAGGAACTTGCTTTCCCAGGCATCCCAGAGCCCAAAGACAAAGGTAGTAAATCTACAAGAAAGGTATGCACCTGGGCTCTGGAGCTATGACTGGTTTACTTGAACCAGCCCTTGGCGTTAGACTTGGGCGATGGCTGCTCTTCAGTATCGGCCAGTACTCGGAGCATGTATGTGCCGGCGTGGACCAGGAACTGTCCTGCGACCTGGGCAGCATAGGACATGAATCGAAGCAGACTCCTGAAACAGAATGAGATGAAAACACATCAGGCTTGGGGTGCTGGCCTAGCCAGAGTTGGAAGGGTGGGAATGCCTCACCCCACCTCACAATTACTAAGCTCTAAGGAAGTAGCAATGATGCTTGAGCTGTGGTATCCATGGAATGCCACTTTCAGGGCACACAACGTCTGAATGCTCCCTGGTAGGCTGCCAGTACTATCCAGGTCCAGGGCCACATATTGAGGTACACAGCCCTCAAAGCCACTTTGTTAAGAGCCTGCCTAAGGGGGAACTCAAGAGCCCCACAGAGCCTCTGTTGATTCTGAGGGCATGTGCGTGCTCTAAGATGGTTCTAGCAGCCTGGGCGGGTGTGTTGGGCTTGCTGAGGAAAGCTGTAGACAAAAACTGGAATTATGATCCTGTGGAGGGTAGGGGAGCTGGAGGAGTCCAGCATGCTCTTCACAGTGCAGGCACATTGCCCTGCCGTAGCCTCTCAAGCCCCAAGACTACACTAGTGTTATTTCAGACCAAATTAAACAGAAAGTGTTCCCTCCAGTTCTTAGTCTCTTCCTGGCCCCAGAAGTTTTCACTCCTAAGTCCCTAACATCCAGGCTAGATTTCATGGCATGCATGTGTGTATGTGTGTGTGTGTGTGTGTGTGTGTGTGCATACATGTGTGTACACATGGGTGTTGCATGTGTGCGTGTGTGCATTCATGTGTGCATGCTGCTGGATATTGAATCTAGGACTTCTAACATGCCAAGCAAGTGCTCTACCCCTGGACTATATCCCCAGCTGGATTTTAGCTTTCTAATATAAGTCTGTGGTCTAAGATTTAAACTGAAGACTACTGCATCAGAGCACATCTGATGTCAAGAGAGGATCCAGCCAGGCTTTGTTATTGGGCCCCGGCACAGAAGACAAGAAGGGAGGAGCCATCTGTGCCATACCTGGGTGTTTCCAGATACCCCTGGATACAGATACTGTTACCTTAACATGGCCTTGGCACTTGTGCATCGGATATCATAGGACACCGAGTACATCTCATACATGGTGGCCTTGATGTTGAGGCAGCCGAGGAAGTCCTTGGGATTCAGCCTGTATAGGTCGAAGGTAACTCTTGCTATTCCTGATTTCTTTGGTTGCTTGTAGACTGGGACATACTTACTGCCCTAGAGAATGAAGAAAGGGATAGGCTTAGGATGGACACTGGTCAAGACAGTCAAACCACACAACTCTGGGGTTATTGCCAAAGTCAGAGTCTCCTAAATGTTAGCTGTAATTATTCCAGTCATATTTACATCAGGCCATCATGTTATAGTACAACCATGACTAAATATGTACTCTTCCCTCATCAACTTCCAGTTTAGTGACTCAGGATGAGTCTGCTTTGATTTTAAAACTCAGCATGTGATGGACAGAGGGGTCAGGGTGCTGCCTTAGGGTGCTCAGGCTTGCTTGCTTGCTTGGAGCCCTTAAGCTACCCCTCGAGTATCTGAGGACATGGTCAGCCTCTTCTTGTAGCTGTCCCAAAGCCAGAGAGAAGCAGGAAGCACTATTTCTGTTTCATTTCAATAAGGAGATCTGTTGATGGAAAATGCTGGAACTCTGAGACTCGAGGAATGAGTGGAACAGGCCTCTCTCCGAGTGTCTCCTATTTTCCAGGAATTGCCTAGGAGGAGAGGTGACCATGTGGGAACACTAACCACTTATAGACTCACTCTGTCCACCAGGGACATCAGGTGACCCTTCCGGTTAGGAGGGACACATTTCTAGGTTTGTAGATAGCTCTACAGTAGACTCTGAGAGAACAAAGAAGTCCCAAGATGCAAATGGGATGTGGCTGAGCAATAGAGAACTTGCCTAGCCTAGCAAGTTCTGGGTTCAGCACCCTCTCCAGTCCTGGGGGTGGGGGTGGGAAGCCAGTCCTGGCTCATGAGCTGCTTTGCTAAGTGTCTTTTTGGCTACACACCGGTCCACTGTATGCTGGATCAAGCCAAGATGATGCAAGAGTCCCCATGCCTCAGGGACTTTTGGAGTTGGGAGTACTTGAAAACTGACTGTTACAGAGTGAAAATGATCAAATACATTTGAAATATTTGAAATTTAAACATAAATTCTCCTAAAAGTGTGCCAGCCCTTCTTGCTGAAGCCACTGCTGGTGTCCTTCTCTTCCTACTACCCAGATCACAAATGACAAGTGATTCTGGCTGTCACCCAGTGCACCGCTGTATACCAGCTATCCACAATTTGAAGAGGAAGCACCATTTTAAAATCCATGTCTGAGCTGGACACAGAGGTACTTGTCATTATTCCTAACACTTTCTAGGCCGAGGCAGCTAGATCTCTGTGAATTTGAGGCCAGCCTGCTCTATATAGCAGGTTTCAGGACAGCCAGGGCTATGCAGAGACCCTTTCTCAAAACAGACAAACAAGTTTGACTAAATCTATCACCTCCCCAGCTTTTCAGCATCTCGCACTGATTTCTGAAGTTTGTGTGACTCTCCCTACAGAATGCCTTTAGTCTCTGTGCTAAGCCAAGATGCCCTCACAATGCTAAGTGCAGGGCTCACATCAGGGCATGCAGGTTCTATAAGCTTCAGGAAAGGAAGGGCTCGACTGGACCCTGTCTTCTTCCAGAGTGCCAGGGAACATCTCTTGGGGTTTGGGGGCCTTTAGATTGAGCAAGGGAGACATCTGGTGGCTATTTTTTGCTCCAGTCCAAATGGGCCTCAGGATAACCTTCCTGAGGTAAGGTGGCCATCTGTACTCTGAGGGGAAGTCACCATCTCTACCTTACAGGAAAGTGGCTGAGACATTAAGCAGAGCTTAATTCTGAGGACTCCAGAATCTTTGACAGGGCTCAGTGACAGGGCATGAACTGTGCATATCTGTGAGGGGCTGGGTTCTATCCTTAGCACCCTCCCCCACTAAAAAAACCAACCCTCAAACCAACCCAGTATTTCAGCAGCCTGGTTCTAGGGGACTCAACATTATCTAAGGGTACCAAGCACACCCATGATGCACATATGATAAACCAGCCTCCATCTTGCACTTGGAAACCACCTTATAGCAAAGTCAAACTGGGTTTGTTTCTGTTTATGATCAAATTTGTGGGTTTTTTCAAGGACTGAGTTATGCCCGTATCTGTAACCGAAACTACAAATGATTCTGTACTGCCTTTTCCAGGAAACGGCAACTTGTTGTGCTTATGTTATATGACTGTAACCTCAAATATTTGCCTACCAAGTCCCCCCCTTGGAAAACCCCTGCTCCTGAGTTATAAAAGCCTTATCTTCCCTACAACCATTGCTGATCTCTTGAGCCCCCCCACCTTAGGAGGAGGCAGCCTGAGTACACGAATGAATAAAAGTTGCTTTAATTTGGCCATGATTCAGGGTGGTAGCCTTTCTCCTGGTGTCTGTAGAATTAACACATACATTCATACATACATGCAGGCAAGACACATACATATAAAATAATCTTAAAAATTACGAGGTACTCATGTGCTTTTGTACATATATATGTAATAATAAGACCGAACAAAACATTATCTACTCCAGAGGCCCTGTGAGTCTCTTCTGGTTATTCCACAGCTGGAAGCCACCTTGGCTGTGCATCTTTCCCATGAACACAATATTGTTAATTTTGTATCGTTTTCAGTTATCTAGAGATGGTTTAATGCAGAGGTTCTCACGGTGTAGTCTGGAGATGGAGCATTAGGCTTAAGATCTCTCCTGGGTTAAAACTATTTTTACAGTAAATGTTAAAGGCAATTATTCTCCATTCTCCTAAGTCCTGGTTTTTCACAGCACATTTGGGGAAAATATATAGCTTAATGGATCGATATTTTCTTTTGTCCTTTTTACTTTTCTGCTGTTTTTCTTTTGGTGCATGTGAAGTACACCCATCACAAAGCTATACCTCTGTTCCAAGTCAGTATTTTCCAAAGTATTGAAATATGATGTTCCAAGACCACTGTGATGAAAGAGCCTTTCAAAATGTAAGACAGACTGAGGTACTCAGTGGAGCAGTGACCAGCGCCATCGGGGCTGCTTAGTGTCTCCTATTCTCCACTGCACTTGAGTTTTGTGGAACCGGCAATTAGACTCTTGGTGCATTATCAAAGCAGTGTATTCTCAGCAGTATGCTTAGACCATCAGCTTAGACCCTCCGTTCCTCTCCAACTACACATCTGCAGCCAGGCCAGATTTCCTTCACAGTGCCACCCAAAAGGGGATAGCAGAGTGAACGCAGATGTATGTCTGAGAGTTATTTATAGTATGTGTGTGCATGTGCATATGTATGGGAATGAGTGTCCGTGTGTATGAATGTGCTCTTACTCAGAGGTCAGAAGAGGCACCCTTTGGAATTGGATCTACAGATGGTTGTGAACCACCATTTGGGTGCTAAGAACTTAATCTGAGTCCCCTGCAAGAGAAGCAAATGCTCTAATTGCCAAATCTCTCCAGCTTCATACCTGAGAATTCAAGTGTCTTCCATACATTAAAGAGCTTTGCAAAAATATAAAAATATAATTCCTTGCTTTTGTTTTTGAGAGTGGTCATTTAAGAAAATATTTTCTTCTTCTTCTTCTTCTTCTTCTTCTTCTTCTTCTTCTTCTTTTTTTTTTTTTTTTTTTTTTTTTAAGACAGAATTTCTTTGTGGCCTGGCTGTCCTGGAACTCGCTCTGTAAACCAGGCTGGCTTTGAACTCACAGAGACAGATCAGCCTGCCTCTGTATCTGGAGTGCTAGGATTAAAGGTGTGGGCTACCACTACCTGTCAAAAAAATATTTTCTTGTTAAAATATATAGTTCAAGCTAACCTTTACTTAGTTACTACTAATTGATACAATACCTATCTTTTAATTTCTCAATTTTAATTTTGGCTATTGGAAACATCTTTATGTATGGCTTATAGTTTCTCAACTTGGCACAAATGACAATTGTTTCAAAGGCTGTGCATTGCAGTTTCCATATTAGACAGTAACAGCTGTGTCCTCTGCCCCAGATTATCATTCTAAACTGTCTCCAGATATTACTCCATGGCTCCTAAGGGCAAAATATCCCCAGGTAAGAAAGAAACTTTGATTGACAGGTATTTGTTGACTGTACTGATGTAACCCATGCTAACAAAAGGTACTTGGAGTCTTCATTACTTTTCATAAATCCTGGGATGAAAAAGCTTGAAGGCAGGTTGCCTAATGCACTGTTCTCACTCACACAGTCATGGAATTTATTCAGACAAAGCCTTGTAGCTGCGTTTCATCAGTAAGTGTGCAGTAGCATGTCTACTTATGCGAGCTGAAATGGGCATGCAGTGATGGCTGGATGTACATCTCCACCCTACTGTGACAGACATGTGGTTTGTGGCCACCATTTACCTTCACTCACAAGAGGGGCACTCCAGGTCTGATATACATCTGCTATATAGTGCTAGTGTTTTCTAGGGTCATCAGGCATGGATCTGTGTTCTTAGGCCCCAGACTGTGTTTTAACTCTGTTGTTTTAAATGTCAGTTTGTAGGAGAGGAAGAAGACTTATCCCATGTCTTAAAAGTGGAAACAGAAGATCATGGGGCTCGCTTTTCTTCTTTGCTTGCTGCACTCTCTGACTCTGGTGTATATGGCTTTGCTGTCCTGCTTGCTTCTGCAAGGGTGTGCTGCCTCGGCGAAAAGGCAGAATCGATGGCGGACTGGACCCTCCCAAATGGTGACAAAATAAATCTTCCTTCTAATTGTCTCAAGTATTTTATTAAAATGACAGAAGGCTGATGAGTGCATGGGCACACACACACACACACACACACACACACAGAGAGAGAGAGAGAGAGAGAGAGAGAGAGAGAGAGAGAACCTGGCCATGCCGGCTTGCCCAACTTCCTAAGAATTAAGTTAGTCAACTTAGTTACAAGGTCAGATCTGCTGACCTGCCTTAGCCAGGTCATCGGCCAAAGCTTATGCTTCAAAATGATTTGTTTTGAATAATATAACCTAAATTCAGAGACATTGAATTTTCTAGAAACACTCAAGAACCTTTTTGAGGTTGTAGCTGTAGCTAGGAGGTGAGTACATGAGTATATATGGCCAGGACATGGCTCAGTCACCACTAAACTAGACAGTGCACCTGTAGGTAGAACCCACCTGGTTGTTGTTTTCATTGCAAGGCTATACTTACTGGTGTCCATTTCTGTCCCTTTTCCAAGATCATGAAATGTGTGTTGTCCCTCAAGGTCTGAAAGAACTCTTCTGTGTCCACCACTGTACCATCCTCCTCCAGTACAAGTGTAACCAGGCCAGCCGTGATGACTAGGACATCCAGAGTCTAGGTTTGCAAGGAAGCAGAGGAACAGGGTGATGTGAACTATTCTCATGGGACCATCAGTGACATTTATGTTAGGGTTTCAGGAGGACTGGCTCTCTCTCTCTCTCTCTCTCTCTCTCTCTCTCTCTCTCTCTCTCTCTCTCTCTCTCCCTTCCCCCCTCCTCTTTTCCCTCCCTTTCTTTCTTTGAGACAGGCTCTCTTCAAGTAGTTCTGACTGTCCTTGAACTTGCCACGTAGATCAGGCTGGCCTCCAACTCAGAGATCTTCCCGCTCCTTCCTCTGGAGTGCTGGGGTTGAAGGGGTGTACCCTTCCTCTGGAGTGCTGGGGAAGGGGTGCATCCACTATCACTACCCAGCAGATATGCTGTCTTGCTTGGCTACTGCGCCTTGACATTGGCTTAGTGCCCTGGGTCTGGACCCTGAGCTCGCAGAGGGCACTTGAGGCTGTGACCACAGTACCTTGCTGATAAGCTCCTGCAGGCTGCTGGCCATCACCCCACGCCGGCTGCTTCGGTCATGGTTTGACACCCTAAAAGGGCGAGCTGGATGCATGAGGGGCATCAGCAGAGCCTTCTTAGTCTGCAGTCCCATGAATGTCAGGGGCCTAAGAAGAAAGCACAACCTTCAGACAAGGTTTTCTTGTTCTAGTTTTTTTTTTTTTAAAGTGTAATTTATTTATTTATTTATTTTATTTTTTGATTTTTTTAAATTTTATTTTATGTATATGAGTGCTCTGCTTGTATACCTGCATGCCAGTAGGGGGCATCAGATCCTATTACAGATGGTTGTGAGTCATCATGTGGGTTCTGGTCTTAAACTCTGAGCCATCACTCCAGCCCCAGACAGAGGTTTTTAAGAAGGGCTTGAGACAGAAGCAACTAATTCAGTTTTAATATTTGCATCTAAAAGAAACACACTGCCTGGGAATTACCAAATGTCACACACATCCATACCTACAAGGGGCAAGCAAGTAACACATCAACTTAGCACATCCAGGCCTACCCTGGGGTTAGTCCTCAGCCCCTCTCCAAGTTATATTCTGCAAATATGGGTTCAAAAAATTTTAATTTATTTGTTATACGTGCATGAGTGTTTGCCTGCATGCGTATGTATATAGTACATGTGTGCCTGGTATCTGTGGGATTTAGATGAGAGCGTTGGATCCCTTGGAACTGGAGTTACAGGTGGTTGGGAACCACTATGTAGGTGTTGAGAAGAAAATCTGGGTCCATTGCAAGAGCAATGTGTACTCTTAACCACTAAGCCATCTCTCCAGCCTCCAAATATATACTTAATTTTCTTATTATTAATTTGTATGTACCTGCATGTACACATGTGTGTGGGGGGTACACATGCTGCAGTGTGTGAGTGGAGGTCAGAGGGCAACTTCATGGAGGTGGGCCTCAACTTTCACTTTTTCGTGGGTTTGGGGGATCAAATACAGGTTGCAAGCTTGTGAAGCAGGAGTCTTATCCACTGAGCCATCAAGAAAATGATTTCTAGTGACTACAAAGTAGTTAAGCCAGTTTAGACAGTTGGTATATACAGAAAACCAAACAGGTACATGTTTATATAATACTGGCCCAGGAATTAATTTAAAAGCCAAATACTGGTCAAGGTGGCAGTCAGTTCAGGATTTTAGTTTGTTTTGTTTTTAGTGTAGGGGCTGGAATTCCAGGCTGTGTGCTTGCTAGGCAAGTGTCCTGCCACTGAGCTGACTCCCAGGACCTCAAGCAAGGTTTTGGGGTCAGGATAAACAGAACCACCTTTATAAATGTCTTGGAAGAACAGAGAGGGAAAACTCGAGATCCCGAGTCATGTGAAAACTTGTATGTAGTTTTAATTCTTTGGAAAATGTGGGATTATACTCCTTCCACTAAGCCAGGTTACAGCATGTAAAACAGCATGCACTTGGGGATATTCTTCTCACATGTGATAAATATTAGTTGATATTCTCTTTCCTAAGCAAAGCCTAAGTGATAGACTGGAACAGAGGCAGAGCTTTACTAATGATATTTTAAACAATGTACACAAAACCATACCAACATGGACCAGGGAAGGAATTACAGCAACACCAAAACATTTTCTGAGGAAAACAACCCAATCCTCCATTATTCAATTTTTGTTTGTGGGAAACTACAAAAAAAAAGTAGTGTGGGGGATTAGTGAGAAAGAGCGAAGATGACTACTCTTTCAGTAGTTACTCAGGAAAAATAAATTTTGTTCTATTTGACCTTAGTATTTATTTAAACTTTCTAAGTTTGATGGGATTGTTTCTGTCTTTGTTGCTTTGAGTCAGGGTCTCCTGTAGCCAAGGTCAGCCTTCACCTCTCTATGCACCAGGGGAAGTCCTTGAGCCTCTGATTCAGCCCCCAGGCACCCATCAGCACCCTTCACAGGTCAGCCAGGTGCTGTAAGTTATGTATAAGTCAACACAGGGTGTTCAGGTCGCTCTGAAATAATTAAAACTGCCTCTGACATACCACTACAGGTTCTGAAACAACAAGCAGGGCTGTATTTAACAAACTGGGGAGTGAAGCATTCAGATACTACCCATGCTAGGCCATGGTGGCACACGCCTTTAGTCCCAGTACTCGGTGGCAGAGGCAGGTGGATCTCTGTGAGTTCAAGGCCAGCCTGGTCTACAGAGTGAATTCCAGGACAGCCAGAGCTGTAACATAGAGAAACCCTATCTTGGAAAACAAAAAAAAAAAAAAAAAAAAAAAAAAGACACTACCTAAAATTACGACGTCTTGGTGACAGGTGTGCTGTTGACCATCAGTTGTTAAGCCTATGTGGAGACCAGGTGAGCAATACATAAGGAACTTTAACCCAGGCCTATGGGCTCTTTTCACTTAGCAGCAGACCCATAAGGACCTTATTCCAAGGACCTGGAGAGATGGCCCAGAGGTTAAGAGCACCAGCTGCTCTTTTGGAGGACCTGGTTTTGAATCTCAACACCCACATTGTGGTTCACAACAGTAACTCCAGTTCCAGGGGATCTTCTGCTCTCTTCCGGCATCTGTGGGCATTGCATGCATGTGCTACACACACACACACACACACACACACACACACACACACACACACACAATGTGTATGTATAGATAAAAATACTCATGCACATAAAATAAAAAGTAAATGCATCGTTTAAATAAAACAAAGTAAAAAAAACTGTCAGGTTAAGTTATGTTGCTATCTGGGTTGACAAGTCTCAGGAAATTCAGAAAAGGGAGGCCTGGCTGCCAATGCCCGCCACTCACAACTTCCCGTCCTCTTTTCTCCCCCTCCCTGTCTCCCTCCTACGGCTCCATCAACAGATTGGCACTCTGGAAGCAGACCTAGATTGTTAGCAACGATTTGGTATGAAGTATACACAACCAGCATCATCAGGACTCCAAACTGCTTGCCTCTGAGCACCTGCCACGGCAATTCTTCAACAACACCAACTACTGTCAGTACACATCACACCCCATTTCTCAGGTGAGAAGACGGAGGCCCAACATGGTTTCTCAACATCATCGGGAGTGATAAAGGTAAGCAATGGGATGGGATGTGGTATCTGCCCCGAGCCAAATTTTTCTACTGGGTGGTTGAACTTGAGACCACAAACAAGCAATGGCAGCTTAAAATAAAAGTTGTTTATCATCATCATTATTATTACTTCATTTGGTTTTCGGGGGAGGGGTTTTGAGACAAGATTTCTTTGTGTAGCCCTGGCTGGCCTCTTATATCTTGAACTACTTTTCTATTCTTTTTTAATAATTTAATTTTTATTTTATGTGCATTGGTGTTTTGCCTGTGTGTATGTCTGTCTGAGGGTGATGAAAGTCCTGGAACTGGAGTTACAGACAGTTGTGAGCTGCCATATGGGTGCTGGGAATTGAACCTGGATCCTCTGGAAGAGCAGTCGGTGCTCTTAATTGCTGATCAATCTCTGTGGCCCCATTCATTTTTTATTTATTTTTTGAGACAGGGTCTCTGTATGCAGTCCTGGCTGTCCTGGAATTTGCTTTGTAGACTAGGCTGGCCTCGAACTCACTTTGCCTGCCTCTGCCTCCTGAGTCATGTACCCCAGTACCTGGTCTGTTTTTATTATTTTTAATTAGGTTCAGGACTGCATGTTGGCATGTGGGTGTGTGCATGTGCGTGCAGATGCCCACGGAGGCTGGAGGCTCAAATGCTCCGGGGCTGAAATTGCAGTTGGTTGTAAGCCTCCAGATGTGGTTGCTGAGAACTGAACTCAGGTCCTTTGTAAGAGTAGCAAGTGCTCTTAACCCTGGAGCTCTCCCTCCAGCCCCAAGCTCAGCAGATTTGCATTCAGATGCTCAATTCCTTCCTCTTTCAGGTATACAAAGTGGCTGAACAATTTGTTTCCTGGGGGACTGTGCTGAGGGGGATGAGATAGACCAGGGAGGTCCCTGACCTGGGTCCCCCATTGGAATGACATTGGAACCTGACCTAGATGGGTCCAGCCAGCACAGACAACAGTGGCCCTGGCATAAGACTCCTGAACTTCTGCCTTGATTGGGAGGAGTTGCACCAGGTTTCTGTTACACAACCCAAAGAACAAGATGTTCACATATGGCTGAGCTTAAATGCTAGGTCAGAACCCATGCAATGCTGTCACACTTGCTGACTTGGAAGGCAGGGCTTGGGGACCAGCTACCTTTATGCTTCCCATAGCTTTGAGAACCCTAGCTGTGCTCTCGACCTACTCGTGCTGTGAAACTTTAACCAGCTGGTTGAGTTCTCTTGAGGAAGAGAGACAGAATCACCCTGATTCAGACGCCTATGTGCTACAATTGCAGGCCTGTGTCACCATACCTGACGCTCTGTTTTATCACTGTGGGATCTGTTCCATCTGATTCTATCCCTCCCGAAGGAGACAGACCCTCCCCGTGGAGGCAAATCCATCTCCTACTGAGTAAGAGGCCATTGCTATTATCCATGAGGCCTCTGGAAGCTGCTCACAGAGTCCAGGGTCTGCCGGGGCATTTCCCTCCCACCTCCACTGAGTGCCATTTACCTGCCAAGTCAAAAGCATGGCAGGACAAAGCCAAAAGAACAGGGCCATGTTTTCAAATGCCTGGTGTGATCACCAGCAGGAGAAGGCACATCTCTGACCTAGTTCCCTGGGCCCCAGGAAAAAAGACAGTGCATCTCCCCCAAGCACCCTCTACACTCTCTTAGTAATCTGACCCAGCTGAAGAGCTCAGAAGTACCATTGTCTTTTCCCATCTGACAAGATGAGGGCTGGCAATCACCTTGCCCTCGATGCCTCTACCTGCCCTCAAGGAAGCCCTTTTGGCTAGGAAAGGACAGTGGATCTTTTGTTCTTAGCCTATTTCCTAACCAAGAACGGGCTCATTGCCAGAGATAAGTCTCATGGACCGACCACACACACACACACACACACACACACACACCAAATCCTACCATTCTGTCAAGGGTGAGTGCCATAATGCGTCAAATTTTAGAATAGCAGGCTTAGCTGGCACAACAAATAATAAAACCTTGCAGATCCTGTGACCTAACCTAGTCTAACCTGTGAGCCTAGGTCCCAAAGGAAGACCCTGTTTCAATCCCCTCCCAAGTCTGTCAAATCAAGACTATCTTATA